GAGGCAAAAACAACTACTCTCTCACACTGTTCATCCACCTCTCTCTCTCTCTCTCACACACACACACACACACACACATGGGCTCTCTGTGTCGTTGTGTCCTTACTCTTTGCCGGTCTAGCCAACCAGTTCCATGACAAAAGGCCAACTGATGCCGAATGTATGTCCTGCTGTTCCCGGAAAGGTAGCAGAATCCCAGCAGGCTTTGAGGTGTCTTTCACAGACGGAAACTTGCTTGAGATACTTTTTGGCATACAGTCATAAGCAGCAGCCGGGCGTCTACAGGCATGCATACAGCTTCCTGTGCCGGCCCGTTTGTGCCCTCCTCGGATGGCAACAGACGAGGCCGATGGCAACTTTGAGATAAGCCGAGGCAAGACTTGTCACAGTTGACTTGTCCCACAGCGGCCAACGGTCAAGCCAACGCGAAGGCGTCAGCGGAGGAGGACTAGGCGACTTCGGCGCAGCGCGGCAAGCCGAGAGTCCAAGTCCCGGAGTGTCATGGGATTCCGGGGGCGATTCGGATGGAGGCAAAGAGTATGTGGACGCAGCACAACAGGTGGCTTCGAGGGGTGGGCACAGGGAGAAGGTGGAACACATGAAGGGGTAGGGGAAGACGAGGAGCTAGAACATAGCATTCTAGACCAATGTGTATACACTTGCACACCGGGCCACACACACACACACACACACAAGGCCACATGACTAATGTATTTAAAGATATGCAATCTCGGTGACCTGCAATTTATGATGCATGTGGACAGACATTGGCGAGTTGCATAAGACAAAGGAGACTGAGGGATCGGACTGGTCACATCGACTGGTATGCTTGTGTGTTTTCGAGACGACTGTGTGTGAACAATTTGTATAATCAGGCAAGTTTATGCCTCCCGCCTGTATGCGGTCAGGTATGCCCGCGAGTGCCGGTGGTTGTATATGTAATCAGTCAAAGGGCAACCGACCCGGAAGACCACGAAAGGGGACCTTGCAAGAGGAGAGACATTTCGGGCTGGCCAATGTGTAGACGATTGGGCCTAGCGACTCGAGGCCGGCAACACGTGATTGTGCACGCCGGAGCCACGAAACTGGTCAAGTGGGATTGAGCCCCTTGCACGAAGGGCTCACATCTGTACTCTTCCTCATACTCCTTCTCGTCATGTTGCTTCACACTCATCTGCCTCGCTCTCAGTTTAAGTCAAGAAGTCTATGGATAACTGTGATATTTCATATTTTACTATTATTATCATCATCATCATCATCATAAGCAGTTATGTCCATTCTTAAAGACAATCGCAATTCGCCGAGATCTAACTTTGGAGGCAGCATAGAGTATGGCTACCGTCCTGCACTGTCGCGGTTCGAATCCCGCTGAGGGTGTTGATAAGACCAATGCGAGTTTGAAACTGT